GATATATGCCAAATTTTTAATGGCTGTTTGACATAACCACGCCTATGTAAGTAGGTCAAATATCATGTTGAGATTGAGAACTAGTCTTATCACATGCGGGTCAGGCTGACTGTGTCAGACTACCAATTAGAAAATTGTCTGTACTTTAAGAGCATTTGAGTAAAGCTATTAGTATCAGAGCAATGGAATACACTCCGGGGACACTACTCAGAACACCCAGACCAGAACCAATTTAAAAAGTTTAATTCCCAAATTGGTCCTACCGGCACTCCAACCCAGGACCTCCTCGACCGCTCATTGAGTCACCGAGATTGCCACCGCGGAGAGATTTACATCTCTTTACATTGCTCCGATTCTAAAGTAAGTGCCCAAAGCACTTGTGTTATGGAAATCAGAAACAACGACGGCACACCCAGACCCGAAACAATATAGAAAAAATTAGTTTCTACATTGACCCGACCGGGGATCGAACCCGGGACCTTAAAGATAGCGACACCATAAAACCGGGCGTGTAAGCCACTCGACATTTTTTTAATATATAATATCAAGTGACGGGACGAACAAGTCGTGTGTCTGGTGGTAAACTACACGCCTGTCCTTAACAGTTGCAGTGCCACTCAGAGCTCTAAATCAGCCCGTCAACCTCAGACATAAGTGGACAAGTCCCATCTGCCTGTAATTTCACCAGTACCCTTACCCTTCAAAACTGGAACGCAGTAATGTTGACATTACTGCATGGCGGCCATTGACTTACAAATAAATGGACGACGGGTCTAATACAAAAACCACGAAAAAAATGTCCCAAGTCAACCTATTCGAAGTTTAAATTGTAATGTCATCGCAGTATCGCGCTGTCAGTCGAACAAATGAAGACTAAAGCGGAGTTTGGCGCTCTGTATACGATTTTAGCGCCTTACAAGTGCGGACACTTTTTAGCGCAGATCCGACGTCCATATAATTGTAAGTCAATGATGGCGGCAGAAATAAATAAGGTGGCACTACTTCCCTGGACGAACTCTTCACAAGGAGCTTTGCTACTAAATCATGGAGGTCGTCAAATAACACAATATGATAATTGTCCTCAGTTTTACTTATAATGATGTAATTTTCATGTATGAAGCTGTGAATTTTAGAATTAATAATACAGTTTCTTGTAATTGTTCGTTAACAGAACATAATGCTAACAAGGGAAAGTTCGAAACATTGCATGTAAGTCATTTTGTTTTTCTTTGATATACCACGACACCTGTGCAAGCAAACACATATAAAGAGTCATTCGAAAGAGAAAACTGTTTTTTCCTGTCACAAACAAATAGTAAACACTGCTTATATTTGGACCATGAAATTGAGGCGTTATTATTCGTTTCTGACATCGACGCTGTTTTCCCCTTTCTTTTTTATTACGGGGGGAAATCTTTATAGATACCCCTGAGTCTCCCTGGGCTCAGGGGTACCTATAATGTGGGGACTCTCCCTCCAGACTAGAGGGCCTACCCCACTAAAACCCCCCCGGGTTTACCTCCCGCCGGTTGAGTCGGCGCCACGGGGTCGGTGCACATTCACCACGACGGGCGCTGTTTTCCCTGGCTAGGGGCAATGCATAAGGACAACGACAAATCTCTAATTTCACTTACGATTTCGTACTACTTAATGTAAAGCCTACTTTAATGTTCTTACAATAGTAGTTTTTTTATGTAAAGTAGGAGGTCATCGTCGCCCATGGACATCTGCAACATAAGGTGAACTGCCTATGCGTTGCCAGCCTTTGAGAGCGTTATTGACATGCTTTTTGAAGAGCCCCATGTCAAAGCGCAAAAAAAGGCTTTAGGACGAAGACCATTCCACATCGTGCGGGTTCGAGGAAGGAACGAACGTAATGCTCGCGTGGTCTTACAATGCCAGACATCTATGATGTGGGGATGGGCTCTACTCCTTTGATGGGAGGTGCGATGGTGGAAATGAGACGGTGGCACCAGTTCGAAAAGTTCCTGTGAGCACTCCCCATTATAAAGATTATAGAACACACACAGAGAGCCAATGTCTCTGCGTAGACTAAGGGACTCCAAACACTTACAACTCGGATAGTGTTTGGTTCAAAACGATGAAATTGTGCATAGATAGAATTTGCTGTATCTGTACAAGATTGTGTAATAGTAATACCTACCTTAACATTAAGAAAGCTGTTGTTATTTTTTAAATTCGTTCCGCTAAGGAAAGGGAAAAGGTTTTAAAACACACAGCCAAGTCTTGATTTTTTTCACTAAGCCTCGTCTTCAGTGTCAGTGTCCTAGTGGAATTGACTCCACAGGGTTTAGAGCTCGGATACCGTGTAAAGTTTTAAATCTGTTTACAGCGTCAATTCTGAATAGGTATGTTGTCAATTTCAAAACGACAGTCCTTTTCTACGGTTTTTAAGTGCTTAATTCTTCTTTTCCTAATTGTTGACACTTCGCAGATAGCGTTTTATCAGTTTCATTTAGTGATTTCAACTACTTTGCATTTTTCCAGAAGTATCGTATTGATTCCCAGGTTAAAATAGATTGACAGGAATATAAGGTCATACGTTATGAAGTTTTGATGAATAGTGAGCAATCACGATAATATCAGGAATGTACCAATGTTTATGTCAGAATAAATTACTTCCGTTTAATCTCATAGAACTTAGAAAGTTGCTATACAAGACTACTACGTAACTATTAAAAAAAGGCGTGTAAAGGTACGATAAGCCCAATTAGTTACGTTTGCCAATATATACTAAAAGATTATGTGAGCACGAAACCCATCATTGGAGAAATCTGTTTCTGATAAATTGGAATTCTTTTATTTTTTAAATATAAATGCCTTGGACAACGACGAAGTTGCAGAAATGCAGATTTTGTTATTGGAAACGCCATTTGAACATCTTTATTTTTTAGAGAATGAATTAAGTATACCTATCTCTCTTTAAACTCTACTTCACTGAATTTGAATAATTATTGATATCGATATTCGGCTAAATTGATGATGCGATCATCCACTGCTAGACATAGGCTTCCCCATAGATCGCCGTAACGATGAGTTTTGCGCTGCTTGCAATCTGCATTCACCAGGCTATTGGTCCATTTTGCGGGTGGTCTACTCATGCTGCGTCTTCCAGTACGCAAGATCTCTTTGACCCCATCGGCTAATCTAAAATGTGTAAAAATCTTTATCGAGCATTGCATTATGAAATATCGATATCAATTATTAAGGCTTTCACATCGCTTTGCATAACTGTCAAAAACCACGTAAAAAGAGAATGTGCAACTTCTTCTTTTATTTTTTTCCATCCTCTAAGAACTGCTCTAAGCGCGCAACTGACACATGTGTAATACTTAAAAAAAAATTAATTACTCTCAGTCTTGGCTGTATGGCGCATTAGTGCCTTTGCCTTTTCCGATGGAAAAAAACAATACCAAAAAAAACTTAAGGTACGTATAGAGTTCCGCCTATTAAAACCTTAGATTATGGAAACCAAAGGACATGTTATATTGACATATATAAATCAGATGTTATATGTATATGATGCATTTAGACGGTGAAAATAAACATTTTATTGTCTTTGTTAACTACTGCGTGCCGTCGTAAGCCAAAAGAGATAGCACTACATTGATTTATGTTAAACACGGGAATCGAAAATACGTAACGTCATCTTAAATGTCCTCATTTTACAATTTTTGGAGTACCCTTTAACATCTGTATCCGGTTGTCAAAGGGAAGTACATCAAATGTCAAAACCAATGTTTGGCCAAATGTTTTAGTGAATTATTCGCATGAATTGTAATGAAATGGACAAAAATATTGACAGTGAGAGCAATTAAGTATTGATAAAAATGCGTCACTGCAGCATTAAGTTTCTAACTGTAATACTGTGTAAATATATTTACAATAAATAAAATAAATAAATTAAAGGGCGCGGCAGTAGAAAAAGCGGAAATCAACCGAATGTTACATTACATCGGCATGCGTTATTTTTCTGCTTATAAATCATACTATAGTCGAAATATCTCATGTAATTAGACTCATTTAAGTAGTTTATACATAAGTCTTGTCGAATTTTGCTACGGTTACTTTAGATTGCCTGTTTGTTAGTATATTTTGATGATTGTTAATAACGATTATTTTGAGATGGTGTTGTTCTTGTAAGCAGACATTTCATTATTGTTATTTTCAAAGTTTACCTACAAATGAAAAAGAAAGAAAGAATGGTTGGAAATTATAGGACTGCCGAACATAAACATTGGATCAAATACCGTCTTCGTTTGTTCGCTCCATTCAAATTTAAATAGAGCTTTGAATGTAACTAGATTACATGATAATGCAATTCTATCGTTACATTTATTGGTAAATAACTTTATATTTAATTTTGATTAAAATGGCTCAATACTTGCCTGGTAATAATAGCCAAGTATTAATCATACTTGTATTACAGTAAACTTCACAAATTTGCTAACATAAAACATAGTAACAACAGTTTAAACATTCAAGGTAAACATTTGCTTGTCGATATTGACTTACCTATGATTATGGTACAACACTAAATCCGCCATTTGTGGTGGACATTTTTGGTTTAGGTAGGGATGTTTATTTCGTAGATAAGGCAGCTCCTTTCCTTAATTTTTTCCATCCTCTAAGATTAAAACCTTAGAGTCTAAGATCAAAACTAATTTTTTTTTATATCCTGGTATTCCTCTAAGCCTTAGAGGATGGAAAAAAATAAGCTTAGTATGGTGTTGCTTATGTCAGTTAAATATGAATTGAGAGCTATTTTTATAATTGTTTTTATATTTTTGGAAAACTTTTGACATTTTCCTTATGTGGCGAAAAAAGCAAATTATCATTACAAAATAATTTAGATAGGATGTTGAATAGAAATCCTCAAGTAAAATATACACTTATTCAACCACCTCCTAAAAACATACTTGACAATAAAAAATCAATTATTAAGTCGAAGAAAATGTGGATTATTATTCTATTGGGCCTAATATATCTTATTCAGTCTTGTGATACGGCTCAAGCTATGCTGACACGTTTATTTTCTCGAACGAATGGCTCTGAGCAGGTACATAAAATAAGCCTTCATTTACAAACCTGAAGACACAGTCAAATTTTTATACAAATACAATTTACAATATTTTTTTTACATATCATCAGAAGATATGAAAAGTCAAAGCAGAACTTAGTCACTGCAATACAATCAAATTAGTAGCAGTAGAGGTCCTTGTGAAAGAGTTCGTCCAGGGAAGTACTGCTACCTTACCTATTTCTGCCGCCAAGCAGTAATGTTAGCATTACTGCATTGTTTATAAACAGGCGTGTCGTTGGTCAGGCGCACGACTTGTTGTAATGTAACCTGCACGTCAAAGAAGGTTCACAACCCTCGGGAAATGTGTTAAGTACAAAACTATGGCTTAAAACCCTCGACTGAAAGGAGACCCGAGCCCAGCAGTGGAACGTATACATGGGTTGATGATGATGATAAATATTTATTTATTTATTTAATACAATTCACTTACATTTACAGTTACACCGTAATATACAGTGACGCTAGTGTGAAAATGTTAATTGCCTTAAACTTCTTTTTCAAAGACATTTTTACACGTCCACATTGTAAAATCGGGTCCCAGAGTGTCATATTCGGGCTTTGTTGCTTACAGCGCAATGGTAATATCACAATTTTCGAGGACTATATTTTATTGAACGGAAAAAGTTTACACATTCTGTCTGGAGAATTACATTACTTCCGTGTACCGTGGGAGTACTGGGAGGATCGACTGTGCAAACTGAAGGCAGCTGGACTCAACACCGTGTCCACGTATGTGCATTCTAATAATACACATAGATTACTATACACACATTTATAGCAGTAGAGCACCTTGTAAAAGAGTTTGTCCAGAGAAGTACTATACTTTACCTATTTCTGCCACCAAGCAGTAATGTGAGCATTACTGCGATCCGATTTTCAAGGGTAAGGGTGCAATTACAGGCACATGGGTCTTGTCAATTTATATCTCAGGGTGACGGGAGTATTGGCAGTATCCCTCGGATCTTTGCGATTTAAAGCTCTGAGCAGCACTGCAACTGTTATGGACAAGGCATGTAGCTTACCATCAGGCGCACGACTTGTTCATCCCGTCACTTGATGCTATAAAAAAGTCTACTATATTCAACGTAGGTACTAAGTACGGATTAGATGTGTGTGCCGCGCCGCCACCAAAATTTTTTCCACGCCGCTACCACCGATAAGCTTGACAGGCGTAAAATCGGCGTGGTGAAAGTTTATTTTATTTAAATGAGGTATCAGCTTCTTTGATAATTGTTTACGATGTTTCATTGTAATATTTCCGTACAATACGAATACGAAACTCAACTTTTATAATTTTACTTGGCCTTATTATACTATACCGTCGCCGATGATTTTATTATCGGCGCACATCTCTAGTACTTGTTAAAGAAGTTTGAAATCGAGGTCCGATGCGGATTGAGAAAATAACTTGTCTTGAATAGATTAATGAATAACCATGAAAGTCTTAACCTTATTATTACTAATTATATTGAAATCATACCGTACTTAGTTACATAGAAACCTGTAATTAGTGATAATTATCTCATCTCTAAAGAGTTGTAAAAACCGTTTTGAACCTATAATGTCTACATAAATTAAATTAGGCCCACATAGGGAATACAATCCCGGCGACCTGTACCGGAGGCAACCGTTCGACCACTATACAATAGCTGTATTAGAACATATAATTTCGTAAAATTTTGGGTAATTCTGTGGAAAATACTAATAACTACAATTATATAATTCTTTCTTTGTAATATGTTTCTTTGTTTATAATGTGATTTTGATTCACTTCCAGAAGAAATGGCCTTTATACAGTATAAATAGTTATAAACTATTTATATCTAACGTGACCATACGTCCCTCTTTGTGCGGGACAGTCCCGCTTTCAAGCACCACGTCCCGTTGTCCCCAAAATACTTAACAATGTCCCTCTTTGACAAAACAGGACACGTAACAAGAAATGTAACAAAATGGCGCGAAAGCAATATATGTAAAAGCCAGCCCACCTGACTACAAAAGACTACTACTTTTGTTTATCATTAAAGATTTATAGTTCTTTTTTCTAATTTTTTAATCATCAAACATTTCGTAACTATCATAAACTTGTGTTTTATTTCTAAAACAATAATAAATTTAGAGGCGTCCCGCTCTGAGGGAATAAATAAAGGTCACGTTAGATATACCTCATCTCTCTCTGTATCTGTTGTATCTCTATAGATACGTGGAGTGGAGTTTCCATGAGCCCGAGGAGCGGTTGTATTCCTTTGCAGGCGATCGGAATGTGTCGCAGTTCATACGAACTGCAGGCGACCTCGGCTTGTACGTTCTACTAAGACCAGGACCATACATCTGCGCTGAACGAGATTTCGTAAGTATGGCCATTGCTCAGCGATCGTATAGATGCATGTGCGATGATGGCGTCCAACAGGGAGAATGAAAATAAGTCCATGTTTATTAATACAAAGATCCATATTTATTAAAACACTTAGGAACACTTTCTTCCCAGACGCTATGCTAACTAAGCTCGCTAAGGTTTGCTAGAAGACGTTGGTTCGAATCCAGTCGGATAGAAAGAATTTTTAACCGTGATAATTTGTGAACCGATTTTGATGATTCTTTTTTGTTAGAAAGAGGATACTTCTGTATTGGTCCTATTAAAATTTGAAAATATTCCACCTCTAATGGGGGCAGCTAGGAGATGATTCTGGTTTCGCGCATGTTCCGTTAACTGATTTCTATAAAATTTGGCAAACAGATGTAATTCCAATAAAAAAAACCGATAAGTAAACGTTTGAGAAAAGTTTTTTCTCACCAAATCCTATCTATAAAACTGACATACTATTAGATAATATTCTTTCCGTAACTTTACATCCCGTGACGACATTATACGAATACTTAGCATTTACACAACTGTATTTTATTATTACTGTTTTTGTGGCCGAACGGTTACCAATCTCTGCCACGCGATTTGTATGATTCTTATTTGTTAGAAAGTGTTTTTTTTTATAATATCAAGTGACGGGATGAACAAGTCGTGCGTATGATGGTAAACTACACGCCTATCCATAACGGTTGCAGTGCCACACATAGCTTTAAATCGGAAACATTTGGGGGGCACTGCCACTGCGCCCATCATAATGACATAACTTGACAAGTCCCATTTGCCTGTAATTTCACCAGCACCCTTTCCCCTTCAAAACCGGAACACAGTAATGCTGACATTACTGCTTGGCGGCAGAAATAGGTAAGGTGGCAGTACTTCCCTGGACGAACTCTTTCACAATGAGCTCTACTGCTACTTACCTTAATTGTAGTGGCCCCATTCAAATTTGAAGAAAATATTCCACCCCCAAGGGTGGCAAGTTAGGGGATGAATCCGATTTATTGGATTTCACCGACTTTCCGTTAACCGATTTGATAAAACATGGCAAATAGATGTAATGCCACAAACTTTTGGGATTATTTCGTTATTTTGGATTTAAATCGCGTATAATTTGTTTTTTCAAACCAATCAAAGTTTCGGGCTCTTTGCAGGACTCATGGTCACAGATGATTGACGGTATCAAAAGAGTGATTTGGACCCGAGAAAAAAGACTGTTTCGTTTTCAATGTATTTTAATGATTGATCTTGTTTTAAACACAGGGTGGTTTACCTTACTGGCTTCTTAGTAAATATCCCTACATAAACCTACGCAGTCAGAACCAAGGTAATTAAAGTATTCACTATTTAAGTTCTAAATTAAAGTTCAAAATCGATTGTGCTTTATAACTTTATTAACTGCCTGTGTGGTCGAACGGTTATGAAGCTGCTCTGACACGCAGAGATTCCGGGTTCGATTCCTGGGTCGGGAGATATATTTGGCTTATATTAATTATGCTCTCGTAAGTTTGGGTGTAATTTCTTGTTGTCTAAGTGTGTATTCGTGGCACCCGAGATGCAGGGTTTCCTACAGCCCCGCAATAAGGAAACTCTGCATCTCGGGTATCATCATAATTTATAATAACGAATACTGAGTGTATTCGTTATTAAAAATTATGATTATAATGCTCTATGACGTCATTGTATTTTTTCCTCTTTTGTTATGAGGAAGGAAGTCTTATAATATGTGAATAACACAAGTATAAAATGGTATATTAGTTATTTTAGATTAGTAAAATACCGGCATTGTAAGAATTTCTATTGAATTACAGAATTCATGATGGAAACTAGAATTTGGATGAAAAAATTGTTTAAACAACTATCTCCGTATTTATTTGGAAATGGAGGACCTGTTATTATGATTCAGGTAAAAAACACATAAACAACAAGCCCATACTCAAAGACTATCAGCACTTTCTTCTTATTCCATTTAATTCTACAAGCAAAACGTTGTTGATAACGAAAAACATAGTGTTTTACAATTGACCTGGACATCAGTACTACCAATTATCTTATTATGGGGTCATACTGGTACTTAAATCACCAATTTTAAGTACATAGAACATATAATTATGTTCCCTAAGTTGGTAAAACGTCAGATACGACAGCTAGAGTGGATGGAGACGATATATTCAAACGGATCTCTCTAGTGAAGTTCAATCGATACGAATAGCTTCACTCGAAAATATGAAATTCACAAAGTAAGTTGTGTCTTCAGCTTATTTACAAATTCAATCAATTTAACGCAACGATAATATATAGTTTATAGATAATATAGTTCGTTGTGTATGCCGCCATTCTGTACAAATTGATAGAGCAAGACTTCCGGCGGGTATTTTTTATCTCCGAATGGAAGGACTCATAGAATATCGATTCAGCTTCACTTGGAAATTGCGTTTCATCACATCGAACTCAAGCTCGAATAATCTATAATTAATATGTAAGGAAATCACATTTGAAATTATATAATAATATGTAAGTAAATCACATTTGAAATTGTCATATTGATTAAACTCTTCTACTCATTCGTAAGGCAGATTCTCCTGGAAGGAATGGGTAAAAAGCTCTAAGGGTTATTCTTATAATAGCAATATTTTTTTGTGAAATTACTCCTCTCGTTTGTTATAATTATTAATACAAAGATAAAATTCAAATTTCACTTAGATAAAATTCCTTCGATCCGGCCGGATTAGAGCCGACGTCTTCTAGCGAACCGTACCAGACGCTATGCCAACTAAGCTGACTGACTTTACAGTGTTTATGCGCCTTATTATCAGGTGGAAAACGGGTACGGTAGTCTATCCAATAACAAGAGCTATATGCGGCGACTTCGTGATATCATCAGCACTTATGTTGATCACAATGCCTTGCTCTATACTGCTGATGGGTCGGCCTATTTCTATAAAGAAGGCTCTATCGAAGGTGCACTTCCAACTCTCAACATGGGTGCAGGTATATATTTTTTTATAAAGTGACAAATGAAAAATTCACCTTAAATGGTACCGATCATTGACTTACAATTATATGGACGTCGGGTCCGCGCTAAAAAGTGTCCGCACTTTTAAGGCGCTGAAATCGTATACAGAGCGCGACACTCCGCTTTAGTCTTCATTTGTTCTACTGACAGCGCGATACTGCGATGACATTACAATTTAAATTTCGAATAGGTTGACTAGGGACATTTTTTTCGTGGTTTTTGTATTAGACCCGTCGTCCATTTATTTGTAAGTCAATGGTACCGATAGTAAAATTGTTAGACTAAGTTATTGTTTTTTTATTAACGACATCAAGTGACGAGACGAACAAGTCGTGCGTTTGGTGGTAATGGTTGTGGCACTTAGAGCTTTAATCGCAAAGATCTTTGAGTACTTGCAACTGCGCCCGTCACTCTGAGATATAAGTTAAGAAGTCCCATGTGCCTGTAATTTCTTCAACACCCTTACCCTTCCAAACCGAAACGCAGTAGGTAGTGCTCACATTATCGTTTGGCAGCAGAAATAGGTGGCAGCACTTTCCCGGGCGAACTCTTTTTATTACATAATAAGTTGGCATGTGACCTCCATGACCTGATGGAAAGGTTGACGATGGAACATGCACACCTAAGGCCTATTTTACTCTCGCCTTGAAAAGGCTCAAGTTATACCGGTTTTTTTTTATTATTTTTTTGTATTTTTTTATAATATCAAGTGACGGGACGAACAAGTCGTACGCCTGATGGTAAGTTACACGCCTGTCCATAACAGTTACAGTGCATTCAGGACTTTTAAATCGCAAAGATTCGAGGGACACTGCCACTGCACCCGTCACCCTGAGGTCCTTTTGGTTACATAACGCTTTTGGTTATATAAAATATATAAATTTTTATATGTGCTATATAAAAATTTTCCCTGGACAAAGTCTTTCGCAAGGAATCAATAAATTTTTTTACTTGCTTCTCGTAAGTATTCCTTATCGGTTGCACTTTCACTTACCATATCGCAAAACTGTATTTGAAACTAGAAATAATTTATTTTTAGACACTGAAAACATATCAGAATACTTGGAACCTCTATACAACTTCACAAACGGTGGACCCCTTATGAATTCTGAGTTCTATGTTGGTTGGTTAACACTATGGAGCGCTCCCTACACCGCCGTTATATACACTAGTACAATTATAAATACGCTGAAGCAAATTCTTAGATACAAACGCGCCGTGCATATTAATTTCTACATGTTCTGTGGAGGCTCTAACTTTGAAGTTTCTTCAGGTAAAGTTGTCTTTAGTTAAATTGTAATTGTGATTGTATTAAAGAGTCAAAATATGTGAAATGGATTTGAGTGAATTATATGCAGTCATGAACAGAACAACCCCGGTTGTAATAAGAAAACAAGATGTACAAGGGAAGGAATGTAATTTCGGTCTGGTTTTTATTATTTATTTTTTATTTTAGAATTTAAAACGGGGTACGATTGTTTTAGCTAATCATATTCCTACAAAACTGTATGTACAATTTGACTGCAGGATCTAAACAAGTCTTAATTGAACAAAAAAATTACAAATTTAATAGAAATTACATTTTTTAGTTTCATGTCTAATAACCTCTGCTATAAGCCTGTTTAATAGATACGGAATATGTTTCTTTAGGCTCGTGTCAGAGCAGTGCGTATTTTTCTTTTCACTGGAGCGCATTAACACGTGTGGCATTAGAACATTGTTTTATAAGTCATATGTCTCATAAGTCTAGGAATTACAAATTTAGTATCTCTCAGGTTTTTCTACTAGTAATTGTTAAAGCGTTTGACGAGGCTGTGCAGACGAAGAATATGGTTACTTTATAAAATGTTCACAGGGGCCTTAGAGCATAATGGTATGTATTTACCTGTTGCGACCACTTACGACTATGATGCGCCAATTTCGGAGTTCGGCAACCTAACACCTAAATACTATGCTATAAGGAAAGTTTTGGAGAAGGTAATTTTTATGAGTTTTTGCCTGTACACATTGTTAAATGAATTAAGTCGTCAGATAGACCTCCAGAAATCTGCTCCTATATTTTGCGAAAATATGTCGACATCTCCAGAGAGCAATATTGCTTTTTAAAGTCGCGTAGGTACGTACAAAGCTCTTTTACAATAAACTTACTTTTTTTAAACTCATCTGATATTATTATTCATACAAAGATCGAACAAAGACAAAGAAAAATTTCTTCGATCCGGCTGAATACTAGTGACTTTTTGCCCGAACGGGGATTACTAAAAAACGAAGGAATTCCAACGTTTTGGTTGAAATTTGTATTCATCTAATGTAATTAAACATCAAGTTGGCTTAAAAAGTTCATTCACTAAATATGCAATAAGGAAGTCATATCAAAATGAATTTTATGCCTCAAAGGTTAAATGTTAAGTTTGTTTAACAGAACCAAATAGTCGGTTAGGGGGTCAGGTATCTTAGGACATCGACTGTACATTAAATATAGAATTGGAAGAGAATGAAATTGTAATAAGTTTGGAGTTACTACATTGTTAATAATAATTGTCATAGAATTAGTATACTAACTTTGAATTCATTTACATTTCAGTACAGGCCGAAAATTGCCACTATACCTGTTCCTCCGCCTACAATGACAGCTGAATACGGGACAGTTAAGCTTCGACCTTGTTTAAAACTATTCTCCGACAAAGGAAGACGGATAATGGGAAAAAAGTATAGTGACGTTGAGGGACCGCTCCTGCCGACCTTTGAACAGCTACGTCAGCGCATTGGTCTGATGCTTTACGAGACTACGATCGATGTAGTAATGACATCTGCTGTCAATGTTCAAATCGAAAAACCTCGAGACAGAGTATATGTTTACGTAAATGGAGTAAGTTAAATTATTCATCGTTTTACGTTAGCAAAGGTTTTGTAACATGGTATATTTGTCAGTCCTACATTTTTAGGGCCTAAAATCTTTGAATTAAGCATATACAACCGTATCGAGTTCTTAGGTTTTCTGACTATCAGTTACTTTAACTTACTTTTATTTTTGGGGAAACACAGATACCGGTAGTGTGTAACTACGCATTAGGAAAGAGGAAGCAAACAGCTTCTTGGTTGTTAGTTAGCCGTGAGCATGGAACCTGTAAAATTTGGTTTGGCGGTCTTTTACATTCTATCTCATTCATGGCGAAATAATGCAAAATAGAATGTAATTTAAAATGTACCAAGGAAGCAGAAGAATCTACGCGAATGTGCTGTGCGGAGTTGTATACGAGATGAGAAGTTATGGAGTCGTCTGTGGTTGGTTAAAACCACGCAATCAAATGGAGTAATTGAGTGCATTTTCAAAATTATTTGTAGGATAAACATCGTACTCATTTAAAAGTTTGTAGGTTGGGTAGTCGAAACGACAGAAATTGACAACTTTAAGAACAGTTCTCTGCGCTCTTTCTAGGTTTATCAGAGTGGTCTTATGTGCACCGCCCTAGGATGTAACGCAGTAGGAATGATTGACAGAGGGTTAAATACACTGATTTCAGAAGAGTACCGCTAGTCGCATATCTTAAATTTTTCAAATGATATATATCATATTTCGAACTCTAGAAGTAAGCGCTACAATATGATGTTTGAAATTAATTTTGAGTTGATCGATTATGACACCTAAATATTTAATGTTGATTGTGCTGTCCAGTCTTGGACAAGGTCTCAATAGGTTGTGAGGAGATATCGTATGAGAAAGCCTTTAGTTTTGTTACTATTACTGGGATACCTCAGGTATAAAGATAAACGTCGAAGTATTTTCTTAATACCGTTTATTGAGACACCAGTAACAAACCAATGTAATAATATTATTGCCTACTAACTATTGACTGTTCTTTCGTCACTCCTCGACTGTTTTAACTGTTTTAACGATTGGCGATCCGCAACTCTCCGCCTTAGTGGGAGAAATCCCACTCTTAAAGTGGGGAGTCAGTATTGGGGATTTCCTTTACTCCCACGACTTGACGTCACTATTGCCAATTAAGAAAGTGTTTGGATCATAGTCAAAACTACTTCTGTTTTCCGTATCCTAGTTTTGGATTTTAATAAAGAGAAATAATTCATTATTGAATGAATTAAATTAATTAAAATACTTTTTGTTTTAATGGGCTTTCATTAGTAAATGTAAGGGCATTTGCTCTGAGCCACTTGGTTACTAAGTTAATCCCAAACTAGTCTTGTGATAAGACTTCATTCTAACTTGAGGCACTAAAAAAACTAGGACTGTAAGATATGATATTGCCACCAGAGAGAGTTAGAGCGCACAGTTGGTTAATATAGACAAGTAAAAACACGAATCCTATTATACTTCTTTGAGGAACACCACATTCAACCGGTAGCTCACCTCAAAAGATAGTCGTGTAAACGTTTGAGCTGCATTCCTCTAAATTATTTAAAAGTATTGGTACGTTTACAGAATCAAAAGCTTTTACGAAGTCAAGGAAGATAGCCAAATTCTTCGAGTCCAAATTTCTTACAATGTAAAAGTATGAAATTGCCGATTTGTACTGAAAATCTAAATTGTTTATTT